GTTCCTTGAGAGTCACTGAGATACAGCAGGGGCAACGGCAGGTAGGAAGCACACAATAATTGTAAATGTCTTGTCTTCCAGCCTTCGGCACACGATTTTCCCTTTTGGGTTAGAGATACAAATGAAAACATGCCATTTTTCGGGCAATTAGGGGAAAAATCTTTTTATTTTTTTCAAAGTTTTTGAATTTTGTTTTTGTTGCTGTTAAGAATATACACAGCAAAACACACCAGGCCAACAGTTTACACATGTGTAGTTCAGGACAATGATGGCATTCTCGAATTAAGCAACTATTCTCATCCACCTTTTCTGAGTTGTTTCTCCTCCATTAACATCAGCTCACTGGCCTTTAAGGTTCCTGTCCAATCTTTCTAGTTGCTGTTATCACTTTGATCCCATATGTTGTTGTTATGTGCCATCTAGTTGGACCTGACTCATAGCAACCCCTCCTTGGGTTTCCGAGGCAGTATCACTACGGAAGTAGATTGCCCCATCTTCCTTCCGAGGAGTGGCTGGTGGGTTTGAACCGCCAGCCTTCTCGTTAGCAGTCAAGTGCCTTAGCCACTATGCTACCAGAGCTCCCTTGATCCCATATAGATAGTTTTTAAAAGAGCGAAACGCTCAATACTGACTTCTGTACCAGTTAAGCTAAACTGTTGTTTGGTTTTAAGAAGACTTCAGGTGTGGCCATTTGAGGGGCAACTACTGGTCTCTCCCCATCCGGAGCAAAGCAGAGTGAAGAACATCAAAGACACAAGGAAACAATTGCTCCAAAGGACTAATGGCCCATGTGACCCTCAGCCTCCATGACCCTGAGAACAAAAGAACTAGATGATGCCTGGGCTACCACTGCTGACCGCTCTGAAAGGGATCACCATAGGAGGTCCTGGATAAAGTGGGAGAAGAATGTGGAGCAAAACTCAGTAAGAAAGAACAGGTCTACCGGTCTGCTAGTGACTGGAGGAACTCCCAAGGCTATGGCCATTAAACAGGGATGCTTCAGGCCTAAAACTGAACTCACCCCCAGGGTTCAACTTTCAGCCAAATGATAGGCCTGTAAGGTGGATATTAACACCAGGGAGGTTCGCACTCATTACAACAATCAACTACAAGAGATGCTAAGGACAGCGTCTGCCCGGGAAGCAGCTCAGCAGGCAGGAAGAGGTAGGGAGGAGGAGCGGAAACTGTAAACACAGGACGTGGGAAGAATGCTGGTACCTGTGGGGACTCCAGCGAATAGCACACAACAAAATGTGCATGAATTGTTGAATGAAAACCCAATTTGCTCTGTAAACTTCCACGCAAATCACAATAAAAAGTTAAAAAAAAGGCTTCAACACTCCTTACCATACCCAGGACTGGCACACAATATTCCTATGTATTTCGGATTCCTGGGATATTTGTATGTGCTATTAAAATGTCCATATGCAGTTTAAGTCTAACAGGAGGTAAAGTTAGGATAACCTTAGGCCACAACTAAACACCTTGGAGGAGTGAGTTGTTGGGCCTGAGGGCTGGGGACCAAGGTTGCAGGTGACATCAAGCTTAATTTGCACAATGTGGTACCCAAAAACACTTCTGCTTCTCTGGTGAGTAGCGACTGGGATCTTAATAGGGACTGGGGTCTTAAAAGCTTGCGAGCAGCCATCTAAGATACAACTGTTCTCATCTGGAGCAAAGAAGAATGAAGAACATCAAAGATGCATGGAAACAGTCCTGGTATCATGGTCTGTAGGCAGCTCTGGAAACAGGGCCACTCTTCCCACTCTTGCTTCAGAGGGTCTCTGGATTGGACCTCTCTGAAGTCTGTGAGGGTCTGCCCTCCATATGCACACCCAAGAGCAGGCCAAGAAATGCCTCTCTCTCCCCTCGTAGGGATTGGCTCAGGATGGGCACGTGACCAGGCTGGTCCAAAGAAGCCTTATTCTTGGACTGTTGCTGGCACATGGAGGCGGCACTGGCTTACGTGTGGGGTTGCTGAGCTGTGGGAATGGAACCTGGACTTCCAGGGCACGAGGGGGTGTCTGGGAAGAATAGAGAGAACTTGAGAGGATAAACTGTGAGTGGTTTCAGTTTGAGTATTTTTTCTCTCCTTTCAATCACAAGAGGTGGCACTGGAAAAGTCACAGCATACTACTTCAGGGACAACTTGAAAGGGACTTCAAGAATCACCACATGGAGCTGCCCAGCCTGCTCTCAGCCCCTCCCTCAGCGAAGCCTTGCTCACAGCCAGACCCAGACGTGAGTCAGGACACTGCAGGACCCCTGCCCGGCAACAAACAGAGCTGGACTCAGTTTTTTGTTTTTTTTTTTTAATTTATTTTCTAGAACAGAACATGTGCCACCTGGAAGCCCCCTGCCCAATGCTCCTCTCCCCACCATCCCCTAAGCCTGTTCACAGAAGTTAGCCAAGGCCAGGAAGGCACAGACAGCTTGCAGGCCTGTCCTCACAGGAGGGAGTGTGGGGTCGGTGGAGCCTGGATGGGAACATGCCAGGCCGCGGACCAGGGCAGGCTGGGGATGAGGGTGGGAAGCAGGTGGAAATACAAAGAGCCAAGGCTCTGGGCTTGGACATCTACCGTCCTCGCCCTTTGGAGAAGACCTCGACCACCACAAATATGAGCAGTTGTCTTCCCTGGGTGGGCAGGGCAGGGCCTAGATGACATCACCCTCACTGTCAGACTCGATAACGTCCAGCGGCTGCAGGCGCAGGGAGTCGTAGTTCGGGGGTGGGGTGCCCGGGATAGGCAGGGTCTGCTCGGCATAGGGCTTGGTGTCGGGACCGCGGTCGGCCACGTCGGGCTGGAAGCTGAAGTTGGTGTGGGCCTCCACCAGCTCGGCCACGGTGGGCGGTGGGCCAGCATAGCGCATGCGGGCCCGCCTCTGTCGCAGGCTCTTGGAGAAGGCCACCAGCTTGATGATGGTGATCCACATGAAGTCAATGATGATCTCCCCAAACTCGATGAGGCACAGCACCGAGCCCCCCATCCAGAAGCCAAACTGGCCACCCAGGTTGGACAGCAGCCAGACGATCTGTGGGGAGAGGAGGCTGACCTCTGCAGGGCAGAACCAGGCACAGACTCCTGCCTGCCTAGACCCGGCCTCAGGGTGCTGGGAGATGGTTTTTGGGTGTGAAGGGTAAGAAGGGTGACCAGCTCAGCCCAGAGGAATAACTCGGGAATGGGAGGGACTACCTTCATTTCCCTGTTGGACCTGGGACCTTCCCACCCTCAAGGTACAAAGGTGGACAGAGCTGTGGCATCAGGAGCCGTCCAAACTCACGTTGTTAGCTGGTGACTCCTGGATGGTACGATAGTTGAACTCTTGGAAGTAGATGTTGAGCTTGACAATTCCCTTCCTAATAGGAATCAGCAGGAAGGGCTGAGGCTGTGAGGGCTCACCCTACACACACACACACACACACACACACACACACACACACGGCAGTCCAGGGGCCTCCCCAGCCTTCCTCTGGCCTGAGCTTCTCACGTGCCCACTTCCATGAATGGTGGACCCTAAAGTGCTGCCCTCCCCAGTCTCCTCTGCGCCTTGGAGCCACAAAGGGCATCTCTGCCCAATACCCATCCTGTGGGGCCCTTTCTCAACTTCATCCTGACAGTTCCTTAAAAGCTGCTGTGGGGTAAAGTCCTCATTTTACCCTGTGTGAGGTGGCCCTCGTCCTTGGTTTTGGAGAAATAACTCTTGAAGTAATGGGGGTGCCTTGATTTGGGAACTTCCTGGCCACACCCGATAATCTGTGATGGCATGGGGGGACTGGCTAGACCAGAAAGATTCACCTGGGAGGGCAATATCAAGTAGCCTTAGGAAGCATGGTTTAGCCTATCACGCAAAACTGGCTGGTAACAGCCCTGACCATGAGGTTCAGAGAGCTTCCTGGTTGACAAGAGCATGTATTCTCAGGAGGGTAGTTCATCCCTTGGGCCATGGAAACTCCACACGGGGAATCCTCCCGGACCTAGCCTTATGCATCTCTTGTATCTTTTTTTTTTTTTTGGCTCTAATAAATCTGTACTTGTGAGTATGATACAGGATAATGAAGCTGGCACACGACCAGGCAGTGTTTTGTTCTGTTGTACACAGGGTCGCTATGAGTTGCAGCTGACTCAGTGGCACTTAACAAGTATGGTGTACTCTCTCTGAGCCGTTCTAGTGAATTTTGAATCCAGGGGTAAGTAGGAGCCAGCAGGTCAGAAAGTAAGGGTGTCATGTGGACTCCCAAGCTTGTGGCTGGCATCCTGAGGGAGTTAGGAAACCATCCCCAAATTTGTGGCCAGCAGGTCAGAACATGGGCATCCTGTGGATTCCCCAGACATGACTGTGATGGAGGGTGTCCTTGTCACTTGTGAACACTGACCTAGCTCTAGGTGGCTGGCAGTGCTACAAGGGTGGCTGATGAGGACAGAGGATTGGGGCCCTGAGCAGTGGGCCACTCACATATTGGGGACTGGGTTCAAGCTGATCCTTATTGTGCAGCCACTCTGGCCTGTGACAGCCCCAGAGATCAGCCCTGAGCTCCCCTCTCCTCAGCCCCCGCCCCATGTGCAGGAGACTCCTTTGCACTTCTATCAGGGATACGGGGTGGCAGATGGTCCCAAAAGGCTATGCTCGCTCATGCCCCCAGACTTTTGTCCTAGGGTAGGCATGGCTAGAGCACAGGCCTGGGGGAGTGGCTACTGCCCTGGAAGCCACAAGGACTGACTTTTGTCCACCATATGTCTTCTTTGCGGACATATCTGTCCGTCCTTATTTGTCTGGTTCTTACTACTCCTTGTAGAGTCAGCTCAAGTGTATTCCTACACAGATGTCCATTACCTCTTAGGTAGATGGAGGGTCCTTCCCTGAGGGCTTTGTACAGACTTTCATTACCTGTTTGCATGTTTTTGTCCTCTCTAGACTTCACCATCCTGATGGTATGGGCTTTGGGTCATTTGAATGGATGGAGAGGTGGATGAATGTAAGGATGGATGATAAATGCATAGATGGATGGTGGAAGGACAGATGAAGGTGGGGTGGATGGATGGATGGATGGTGGAGAGGTAGCGGGATGGATGGGTGGTTGTTGGATGGGAGGGTGGATGGATAGATGGGAGGGTGGAGGGATGGATGGGAGGGTGGAGGGATGGATGGGGCGGATGGTGGAGAGGGGACAGATGGGAGAGCAGGCTTTCTAGGAAGTGGCAGACACTATATCGCTAGGCTGTCTCTCATTCCCTTCTTCCTTCCTGGCTTGCCCCTGGTGCTGCTCAGTGTGAGAAGGTTTCTGAGTAGCTGCCCCGTGGCTGAATCCCTCCCCTGAGGCTCGGGTTCCTCCCTATCCTGCCTTCCCGGACTCTAGGCTCACCTGCTTACAGTGATATTGGCACTTTGGTCTCGCTCCTGGGACAACACATGGAAAATCCAGTCCTAGAAAACCAGAGGCAGCTGGGGAAAAAAAAGGTGCCTGCAGCGCTCCCTCCCAGTCAGGGCCCTCACTACCCATGAGAGGTGGACCCCAGCCCCCACCTTCCCAGAGCCCTCTGGGGACGCGTCTGGGATGAGGAGGAGGAATGTACCAGTCCTGAGTGATGGCTGCTGTCAGCGGAGGAGGAGCTCAGGGCCCCAGACTCTTCCGGTCCCCAGCCCTTTCCCACTTCTGCCCTGCGGGTCCCTCTGTCTGCAGTATTCTTCCCAGCCCCGCCACCCGGTGCCTCAGTGTCATGCTGCAGGTTTCAGCCCCAAAGTCACCTTGTTAGAGGGGCCCCTCCCGACACCCTGTCTAGAGGGGTTTCTCCCCGTTTCCCTCTCATCATCCTGTTTATTCCACCACAGCTAGCATCACACTTTGAGATCTTATTTGTGTTTCTGTATCTGGTCTGCCTCTCCCACCGGAATGTAAAGTGCTAAGGGCAGGAACTGTGTCTGTCTCGTCTACTGCTGTGTCCCTAGCACAGTGCCTGGGGGAATACTGGTGAGTGGAAGGGACAGAGGGGTGGAGGAGGGGGGAAGGGGGGAGGAAGAGAGGAAGGAAGAGAAGACAGAGTAAGGACGGGACTTAGGAGGTACCCCCCCTAAAGCTCCAAACAGCCTGCAGGCCTGACCCCAGACCTGTCCCCAGCTCAGCAAGTAGGAGGCTTGGCCACTCCATCATCTCACCTCCGAGGACTCAGAAGGCCACTCGGCCATTGAGATGGTCATCTTGTACTTGGTGTCACTAGAAGAGAGAAGCCGTCCGTCGCTGCCCTGCCAGGACTGCCCTCCAGCCCTGCCTGCCCGGTGCCTGCAGCCCCCGCCCACACTCACTTGCAGGACTCGCTGCACTGGCTGATGCAGGCCTCCCTCTGGTCCACACTCCTCTGCAGAGCTGAGTAGCAGTAGGCTGAGCAGGAGAGAGGCAGGTGGCAAGAGTTCAGGGGCATCTCTAGGCACCCGCCTCTCCCTCTCAGCTCCCAGGGGCCACAGTGGGCTGGGAGACAGGCCAGCGGCTGGCCCCCTTCTCCTTGTGCTCAGAGGGAGGTTCCCAGGGCCCTGGGCAGCCTAAGGTCTGGTTCAGTGTGTGGGGGGGTGGGTCTCAGTCCGAGCTCTCCTGCCATGGAGACTGCGGCCTGGCCTGGGGTCTTCTCCTGGAACATTCTGGGCCAGTTCGGCAGGCACCGGGGCAGCATCCCCGAGCCCATCCTTCCCATTTCTGCCCAGGGGTCTTGTACAAAGAGATGCCCGGAAGGAAGGAAGTTTTCCCTTTTGTCGGTATGTCTGTCGGCTCTCACAGGTGGTGGGCCTCTCCCCTGCTCCCCATGGAAGTCCGCAGTGCTTGAGCTCAGTGTCACCAGCATTTCCGGGCCTGGCCTCCAGCTCAGGGAGCCCAGCAGGGCCCCTCCCCTTGTGGCTTCTGCTTTCTGGGCCCTGGAGGCTCCTTTCTGTTATCGGCTTCCTCCCTGCTCCTTCCTACCCCAGCACCCCGCAGAGACCCAGTGAGCACCCAGACAGGGACACGCAGCGGGGATAAGATAATACACATGGCCTTGTGGGTGCATGCACACAAACATGTATGTACAGACCTGAGCACATGGTGCGAGCCTTGGAAGGCAACTCACACCCGTGTCTGAGCACATGCACACACGTCGCCTGTGTCCTGACGGACAGTGTGCCCTTTCACACGTGCACGTGAAAACAAATGCACACAGGCCTGTGCTGGCAGGCAGTCACACGTCCCGGCTGACACATGGAGGACACTTACGTGGCACACAGACATACATCCATCAGGACTAAGGCACTCCCACACATACATGCTTCAAACACACACACACTTTATGGACTCAAGGTGTTGGGGGAGCCGCCCCTGCTGCTGGGAGGCCTAGCTGGAGTGCGGGAGGAAGGCCGTGGCACCAAGGATGGCCCTGGCCTGTTGGGCCCTGAGCTCCGCCCTCTGCAGTCAGAGGCTCTGGGCAGCGGCCCTGCCAGGCAGGGTGCTGGAGCCGTGGGCCCTCACTCACCCCAGTCTGGAAAGTCCTGGTTGTTGCAGTATTTTTCCCCGTGGGGCAGTGGGTACAGGTAGTGGCCACAGCTGCAGTTTTGGATCATGTGGTCTTGGAAACAGGAGCGAAGACAGGCCTGAGGGGACCAGGGAGAGCAGAGACAGGCTGCATGATGTCCCCATCGTAGGAGAAGGGGCCCAGAGAGGTTAACGCATAGCCCACGGGACGCACAGGAGCCGGGAAGGTGCCCTTCAGCTGAGAAGAGGTACTGAAACACCTGAACTGCAACTCCGGACCCACAGGCTGTCCTTGTCACTTGGCCTGCCACAGGGACTCGGGCCACACTCCAGCAGCCTAGCTCTCTGAGGTTGACCCCCTAGCACCATTCGGGGCAGGGTCACCAGAGATGCCATGAGGCGAGGTGGCCTTGTCCCAGTAATAAAGTTAACATTTAGATTAAAGTCACCATGGAGGCGACTCCGATTCCCTGGCTGCCCCACGCGTGTCAGGTGCAGCTGTGCCTCACAGGGTTTGCAATGGCTGTTTCTCTAGTCAATCAGCAAGCCTTTTTCTGAGGCACCTCAAACCTCCAACCTTCCACTTAGCCCCTCCCAGGGGCTCCGAACACTTGGATAGCTCAGGGTGGAACGCGCCGGCCCCTTCTGAGCTCTGCAGACACAGGGACTCCGAGGAGCCTTGAGGGAGACGGCAAGCTTGCTCCTTCTTCCTGAGGAGAACGCTCAGAGGAAGCGAGGAGGAGGGGCTCTGAAGGTTCAGAGTGGATGAAAGCCCGTGAGCTGCCGGCTGTGGAGGAGGGAGGGCAGGGACTCAGCCGCCCCAGGGTCCCTGCTGTCAGTCCACTCAGAGACTAGCTACGTATGTGGGGGCAGTGACTGAGCTCTGAGCTCAGGCTCCTCCCGGATGGAAGAAGATACCAGATGCAGCTCTTTCCGACCATCGACCTTCGACCATCGGGAGGATGCAGTGAGCTCATCCGGGGAACTCAGTGCAGCGTCAGGCACTTAGCGGTGCTCCTTCAATGGGGCTGTTATTCACGTTTTTCACTTGTCCAGTTCCCTGCGTGCCTCACGGGCCCGCAACCGCTCTCCACCTTTCTCAGCTCGGACCACCCCTCCACAAAGTCTTCCACTCCTGCAGCCCAAGAGCCCACCTCCTCCGCTGCCCCTCCCGGTGCCCCTCCCCAGGTCACTGGGTCCAGCCCTTCTGTTCTCCCTGGCGTGTGGGCCAGTTCCTGGGGGGCAGGAAACAAGGGCTGGCTAGGAGATAAGGTGGCAAGGCGGGGAGCCCGAGCTCAACCCTGAGGCAGTGGGGGCAGGCAAGGAGCTGTGACTTTGGGCAGCATCTCAATGTGTCCAGGCCCTGAGGTTGGGGGTGGGCTAGGGTAGGCACGGCTAGAATACATGCCTGGGGGAGCAGCTACTGCCCTGGAAGCCACAAGGACTGAGATCTTCCTGGAATGAAGCTGGCCCTGGCTGCCCATCTAGCCCTCCAGAAGCTCACAAGACTCTTGGAATCCTGCAAGGCAGGCAGAAGCCCCTCCACACAAGAGGTGGTCAAACCAGTGGGTTCAAGTGTGGGGTGGGGCATGGTGGACAGTGGGCAGCCTGGCACCTGGAAGTACCAATTTCCTGTGACTAAGCAAAATAGAAGCCCGCACCAAGCTCGGGCCCTCAGACATGGAGGCACACGTGGCTATACCCCCTTGCTGTGCCTCAGTTTCCTTATCTGCCAAGGAAAGGCATGGGAGGAAGGACAGGGCACTGTACACCTGAGGCCCAATGGGCTGGGAGAGGAAGCATCAGCGAGAGGGATTCAGTCTGCCTTCGCCACCGGAGCTGGGTCAGAGGCTTCTCAGGAGTTCGGGACAAGAGAGAAGCCCACAGCTACAGCAAGAGGGACCAGAAGTCAGACATAAAGAGGAAATGCATGGTGAAATGAGTTCCCGGGTGATACACAGGGTTCATGTGCTCGGCTGCGAGTGGAAAGGCTGGAGGCTGGAGTGTGCCCACGGAGGCCTCGGAAGAAAGGGCTGGCGATTTATTTCTGAAATGTCAGCCACTGAAAACCACGGAGTTTCTTCTCTGACACACAGGGTCGCCGTGAGTCAGGAGTGACTTGGTGGGAACTGGTGTGCTGGGTGCTGGGGACGCAATGATGGGTATACACCGAGGACTAGGCACAGTGCTGCCTGGCACAGAAGCCCTCTGAATGCTCACAGACGTGTTCTAAGGCTCAGATGATGGAACGTTTATAAAGCCTTTCACGCAGTCCCTTACACAAGTAATCACTCTTAGAAAGACAGACCCCAGAGTAGGACCCCTATGATCCTGAACGTCTCCAGGGACACACCTACCCAGTGGGGCGGAGAGGTGGCCAGCTCTGGACCCTGGTTCCACAGTCCCCGGATGCCCCGTGGCCACCTACACAATGCCAGCAGAGCCAGCCCCTCAGAAACCAGAGGCCGTGGCCCAGCAGACGTGGACGGGCCCAGGCCACGAGAGCTGCCCCATCCGCCCACCTGGATGGAGTAGGTGGTGTTGTAGCCACTGTAGAGGTTCTGGATGGGGACGTCGGAGCCGTTCATGGTGCACTGGCTGTAGGGCCTGCCCTTGCGTTCCAGCTTGTCCTGTGTCCAAACGATTGCTCGTGGAGGCCCTGACCACCGCCAAGAGGTCCCCCTGTCCCTCCCTCCCTGCTCCCCCTGAAAAGTGGCAAGCTTGCGGGGCACAGGGGACGCTGGAGAGAGGGAAAGCTGCTGGCCTTAGCAGGTCCCAGTGGATGCTCATTTCCCCCGTGGAGGGCTGCACCGACAGGGCTCCAGGCAGAAGGCCAAGCAGGAGTGCGTGTGGAAGGCAGGGCTGGGGGAGGCCCAGGTCCCGCTCCCAGGCCATGGGAGGTCGGCCCCAGGCAGGTGGGTTTCACTCCCCTCAGTGCCCCCAGGCTGCCCCTGGACGCCAGGCCATACCACTAGCACCCCAATGGATGTCTCCGTCCCCGCCATAGCGTAGATGCCCTCGTCCTTGATGAAGGGGTAGGACTTCTGCTCGTGCAGCATCAGCCGGGCCCCCGCTGTCGATGTGAGGAAGGGCACGTAGTCTTCCTGGCCTATGTCCAGGATCAGCTTCAGGCCTGTGGGGAGGGTACACCAAGGCTGAGGGGACACCCCCAGCCACCTGCTTGTCTGAGGCTGCTCGAGCCGCAGGGATCTCCAGGGCCTGCTGGGGGAGCTGGCTTTGCACTGCAACCCAGACCCTTTCTCCAAGGCTCCCATCCCAGTCCACCAGCACCTCTGAAGTGGGTTCTACGTTTCCTCCGATCTGGGATCCTCTCACCCTTCCACAATCTCTCTTCCATGCAGCACACAGAGGAATGTGGTCCCCGCAGGGACCCAGGAGGCACAGCCCAGCGACCCGTTCCACCCATCCTGCCCACCCATCCTGCCGTATCTCGTACACGCTCTCTCGTTCCACCACTCGGGCTACGCTGGCCCCCATTCACCCGTCAGCTTCTCCGCTCGTGAGCTGCAGGGCCTCTGCATGTGCAGTTCCCTCACCTTGGAATCCTGGTCCCGTCCTCACCCTTCGCCCAGATAACTCCTGCTCTCCTTCAGATCTCGGCCCCAGTGTCACTGCTTCCAGAAGCCCTCCCTGACTGCCCCGGTCTCAGGCTCTTTGCTATATACACTCTCTTGGCCTTAGAACCTTCCTTCAGGTACCTCCCTCACTTCTCCTCTTGTCTGTCTCCCTGCCCCAGCACATCGTTGCCTTCTTTTATCTTTATAATTAATGCATTTTTTTTTTTTTTTTTAACTGAGGTGAAATTCACATAACATAAAACCGAGCATTTTAAAGTGGCCAATTCCAGGGCATTGAGGACATTCACAAATGCCGGGTAACCATTCTCTCTACTTCCAAAGCATCGTCACCCTTGAAGGAGCCCCCAAGCAGTCACTCCTCACCCCCGTCCCCAGCCCCCCCGCAACCACCAATCTGCTCTCTGTGTCTGAGTTCCCTTCTTTCAGGCCCAGTGTTTTATGCACTGATGGGGTTCCAGGCAAAGGGCAGTGCTCAGTGGGTACGAAGCTCAGAGTTCCTCTAAGAGCAGGACCCTGGGTTGGGACCCAGGGGCTCAGGCAGGGTCTGAGTGCTATTACTGGATGCTGACAAGAGTGATGTGAGGGAGGTACTATCATCACCCCCATTTTATAGAAGAGGAAACTGAGGCACCGAGCATTGACGGGACTTGTCCAAGGTCACCTAGCAAGTAAGGGGTGGAGCTCCTAGACCGCCACCTGCCCCTGTAAAGGGAGCCAGCTGTATGTCTGCACACCGACCATCTTCCCAGGGCACCAGGGCTGATCCGAGGGCGGTCAGCTCAGCTCGCCCAAGCCCTCTAGGCCAGCAGCCCGAATGATCGCTGAAGGACAACAGGCCTCCTGGTTGCTGAGGAGGGCAGCCCTGATGGCGGGGAGGAAGGATTCGCGTCCCCTCACGCCAGGCTCCCAGCCTGAAAGCACAACCTGCCCGAGTTTGCCGGCCTTTGCCCAGAAGCCCAGTCAACTAGTCAACCGTCAACCGCAAGAGAAGCGGCGTTGTCAGCGGCATCCGTCAGCAGTCACGCCCCGCCCCCTCTCCTCTTTACACCCTCCTCTCCGTCTCTGTGGTTCTCCCTCTCCACGAGGCTAAGAGCAAATGCTCAGCCACTTACTGGACAAGCTCTGCAAACACTTCTCAGAACACCCTGCACATACTGAGAATTCTTCCCTTTCCTAAGGAGCGCTGGTGGTGGGGTGGGTAAGGCATTTGGCTGCTAACCAAAAGGTCAGTGGTTCAAACCCACCAGCCGCTCTGCGGGAGAAAGAGGAGACTGTCTGCTTTTGCTTCCATAAGGATCTGCAGTCATGGAAACCCTATGGGGGATGCCCTGAGTCGGAACTGACTTGATGGCAGTGGGATTCGGTTTTGTGGAGTTTTATGCAAGAGGCCTGGGTGTGAGTGTCGGTCAGTGCACCCAGCGCCACCACCCATGTGTCAGTGGAGGAGGCTTGTGTGCTCCTGGACCGCTTCAGTGCAGCTTTCAGAGGAAGACGGACCAGGAGGAAAGGCCCCGTGACCTACTCCTGAAAGCCCAGCCAATGAAAACTCTGTGGATGACGAGCGCCCCACCCTCCACCAATCACGGATGGTGTGGGATGGGGATGTTTCCTTCCACAGCGCACGGCGTCCCCATGAGTTGAGACTGACTGGACGCAGCGAACAGCAACAACACTACTGGCCGGGCACTATGCTGAGCTTCACCCACGTTATGTGACAAAGACTCAATGACGTCATGGACTGCTATGTTTCGTGCCCATTCTCTCAACAGAGAGACTAAGGCTTCAAGAAGTTAAGTCTCCTGCTTGGGATCACGCAGTGAGTAAGTGGTGAAGCTGAGACTCCATCCAGGCATTAGGAACTGAGCTCCTGACCACTAAGCTGCCCTGCTTCCAAGCCCTCACTTGGTTCACCAGCAAAATGGGAACAACAGCGCCTACCCCTGGGGTTATGAGCGTGGGGCGAGAGCATGGCTGGGAGAGCAGCCGGCCCACAGTAGAGACTCAGTGATGACTTCTCTCTGTGCTGGCTAACTCTCAATACTGTCGCTTAGCATGGTAATACCTCAAGATGGTAACGTCTTCAGCCCCACTTGGTGGGGTGTTACAAGCCTCATGGCCAAGCCTCATAAGCCAAGACTTACCAAACTCAGCACCAGGGTTGGCGGAAGGGAGGATCTTGTCTGTCATGCCCCAGTTGAAGATGTAACAGTTGCCGTAATCGGGGTAGAAGATGGATGTGAAGTTCCTAAAAGAAAGACCATCGGCTGGAGAGCAGGGTGTGGCCACCGATGCTGTGCAGAGGGCCCGGCGGCTCCTCCCTGCTCCCTGTGCCCTGCACAGAGACGCTCAGGAAGGGAGGGAGGGCAACAGGTCACTCCGGCCAGCTCCCTGCACCGGTGCAGAAGCCAGACAGGAGGTTCCCAGGCCGAGGGGAAGGCAGTCTCTCTGGCTTAGTCTGGGATGATGAGAGAAGTTTCTAGTTGTTTTCGTTTGAATCCTATATACAGTCTTGTAAGATCACAAGAGTGAGAGGGCAGCCCCAGACAGCATTTGCTTAAAGGAGCTGGCAGAGCCCAGAAAGCGGGGCTGGGTACCTCAGAAACACAGTCAAAGAGAGAAAGTGGCAGAAAGGGAGGGTCGGAGCGGGGCGGGACTTGGATCCAGAGAAGGTGAAGTACAGGCCGAGGAGAGAGACAACTTCAGGGTGAGGGGTGAAGACCCTCACACAGGTTCCTGGCTGAGGTCATGGAAGTGTTTCCAAAGGAAATAATTCCACAGGAAAAAAAAAAAATAATGTTTTCGTAAAGATTCTCACAGCAATAGTGACTGTACAGTGTCATGTCAGGAAACCCAGTTGCTGTTTTAATTTCCTTTATGGAACATTTCAAACACACACTTAGAGTAGAGTAACAAAGCTCCCAAGTCCACTTCCACAACCAGGGGTCACCCTGTGGTCACCGTGGGTCCTCTGGGTCACCCTGGGTCACCCTGTGGTCACCCTGGGTCACCCTGTGGTCACCTAGTTTCATTTGCAACTCATCTCTTCCTCACTCACATTTTTTTTTTTTTTTTTTACAATTTTTATTATGATTTGGGTGACAGTTTACAGAGCAAATTCATTTCCACACAGCAGTCCATACACATTTTGTTTCATGACATTGACTGCCATCCCCACAATGTAACAGCTCTCATCCCACTTCCTCCCCGCAGTTATGTCTTTCCTGTGTCCGTCCCTATGCACTCCCACCCCCCAAGCTGTCTCCCTGTCCTGCACAAACACTACCCTTCTGTTCTCCCATGATTGAGCTCTCCAAGGACTGTATCTACCTGATGGACATGTTCACCTCATATACCTGTCTATTATTTGGCTGGAAGCCACGGGAGTGAGTTCAATTCCACACCTGAAGGGCAGCTAGGGGCCATAGTCTCAGGGGTTTCACTAGGCTCTATCAGACCAGCAAACCTGGTCTTTTTCATGATTTTGAGTTTTGTTCCACATTGTTCTCCCACTGTGTCCAGGACTTCCTGCACTGATCCCTTTCTGAGTGGCTGACAGCCCACTCATATTATTTTGAAGCAAATCTCAGACACCCTAATTTTACCGTAAACATTTCTACACATACACATCTCAAAAAATAAGAACTCTTAAAAAAATACAATGATCATGCTTAAAATAATTACTATTCTTTCACAGTATTAAATATTCAGTTCAAATTTCCAGTTGTATCGTAAATGCCTTCCCCCCCCATTTACTTGTTTAAATCAGGATCTAAATAATTTTAACATGTGATCGACTGGTAAGTCACTTTTAGTCTATGGATCCCATTTATCTCACTTTTTTTTTTTTTTCTTGCAATATGTCTGTTAAAAGAATCCTAGCTTGAACCAGCTAATAAGAAGGAAGGACACAATTAAAATGTTATCATTTTGCAACCCCTAATGAATTAAATAAAAGGAACTCTGGGGGTATAGTGGATAAAGCATTTGGCTGCTACCCAGAAGGCCAGCGGTTCAAACCCGCCAGCTGCTCCGTGGAAGGAAGATGGGGAGATCTACTTCTGTAAAGATTTATAGCCTCAGAAACCCAAATGGGGTTGCTGTGAGTTGGATTCAACTAGATGGCAGTGAATTTGGTTTTTTAATGAATTAAATAAAGGGCTCTGGTTGTGTGCTAGATAAGGCATTTGGCTGCTAAGCAGAAGGTCAGTGGTTCAAACCCGCAAGCTGCTGATGGTACGATCTACTTCTGTACAGATTTACAGCCTCAGAAACGCAATGGGGGTCCCTATGAGTTGGAATCAATTCGATGGCAGCAAGTTTGGTTTCTGGTGGCATAGTGGGTAAGGCATTTGGCTGTTAAGCAGGTCAGTGGTTCAAACCCACCAGATGCTGATGGTACGATCTACTTTTGTACAGATTTACAGCCTTGGAAATGCCATGGAATTGCATGAATTGGAATCAAGTCAATGGCAGTGAGTTTGACTTTTGGTGGCACAGTGGGTAAGGCTGCTAACCAGAAGGTTAGCAGTTCAAATCCACCAGCTGCTCCTTGGGAGGAAGATGAGGCAATCTACTCCCATAAAAACCTACAGCCTCGGAAACCCAATGGGGGTCCTTATGAGTCAGAATTGTCTCGATGGCAGTAGCTTTTTTATTTTTTTAATGAATTAAATAAGAAGCCCTGGTGGCACAGTGGTTAAGTGCTTGGCTGCTAACTGAAAGGTCAGCAGTTTGAACCCACCAGCCAATCCACAGGAGAAAGATGTGGCGGTCTCCTTCCATAAAGATTCACAGTTTTGGAAACCCTACGGAGCAGGTCCACTGTTCTATAGGGTCACTATCACTTGGAATTAGACTCGATGGCAATGGGTCTTTTGTTCATTTGTTTAATGAATTAAACGGAGCTGTGCAAATGGTTACCTCACTCGGCTGCTAACTGAAAGGCTGGGGGTTCAAGTCCAGTCAGAGGCACCTCGGAAGAAAGGCCTGGTGATGCACTTCCTGAAAGTCAGCCCTGAAATCCCTGCGGAGCACAGTTCTGCTCTGACCCGTGGGGTGGCCACGAGTTGACGTCAATTTGACGGTAACGTTTTTGGTTGAATGGGTTTAGGCAGTGAGCACTGAGCTGGCCACACACTATGTCTCCTGATGGAAGAGCACAAGCAGGCGAGGAGGTGGTCTTGCGAAAAAAAGAAAAGAGATCTCTACCATTTACAGGAAATACCGAGGGAGAACATGTTATAAGACACTGCAGAAGGTCAACCAGCAAAGCCAAGACCATGGGAGCTCAACAGGATAAATAGCCCAGTTTCTTCAGCACATACATCGTGACGCCAAACAACAGCTCAGCTTCACCAGTCAAAATGTCTGCCATGAGCATTCTGCCCTTTTAAGAGCTATCTGTAAGGGATCAAATTGGCAACAGCAACTCAAAAGGTTAGATAGGAACCTTACGGTGAGCTGATGTTCATGAGGGAGAGAAGGAGGGTGAGAACGGCTGCACAACTTGAGGAACACAATCAGTGTCTCTGGGCAGCATGTGTGAGAACAGTTGAACTGATGTATATTTTATTATGTGTACTGTCAACAACAACGAAACATTGTGGGAGACCTAGAGGAAGGCAATGTATAGGTTAAAAAACCCCAAACCCAGGGCCACTGAGTCGATTCCAACTCACAGCGACCCCCATTGGGTTTCCTAGGCTGTAAATCTTTATGGAAGTAGATTGCCTCCTCTTCCTCCCACAGAGCAGCTGGTGGGTTTGAATCACCAACCTTCTAATTAGCAGCCAAATGCCTCATCCACTATGCCACCAGAGCTCCTTATAGGTTAAAAAAGAAATCTAAAATTCTTTGGTTAAAATTATAATGTGTGGACGTTAATTAGATCCTGATTCAAACAAGCAAATCAACAAGCAAACGTGACATCTGTGAGTACGGATGTGACTGGACAATGGATGACATTAAGGGATTATTGTTACTTATTTTCAAATGGTATAAGAGCATTGTGACTGTGTTCAAAGCGGAGTCTGCAGGTGTTGGAGACTCGTTCTGAAACACCCACTGACATGTGACTATGGTGTCTGGGGCTTGCTGCAGCCTAACTGGGAGGGGACGTGGACGTGGATGGGGTGTGGGTGGTGCAGGACGGTGTAAGTCATGGTCACTGGCGCTGGGCAATGGGCCCATGGGAGTCCATCACACTCAGCTTTTTGTCTGTGTTCTCAAGTCTCCATAATACATAGTTTTAAAGATGTCTTTTGATGTTTGTATATTGTTCTTTTTAAAATTTACAATTATGAAAAAATAAAATGCTACCAAAAAAAAGTCAACTAAAGTGCAGTATTATCTTTTAAGGCTTAGATTCCACAACAAGGAGCCCTGGTGGTTCAGGGGTTAAGTGCCTGCCTGCTAACCAAAAGGATGCAGCACCTACCAGCCGCTTTGCGGCAGAAAGATGAGACAGTCTGCTTCTGTACAGATGACAGCCTTGGAAACAGTGTGGGCAGTTCCACTCTGTCCTCTAGGGGCGCTGTGAGTCAGAATCCACTCCACGGCAGTGGGTTTGGTTTGGGTTTTGCTTCCCTGAAGAGTGACGGCCTTGGAAACCCCATGGGGCAGTTCCACTTTGTCCTCTAGGGGCGCCGTTGAGTCGGAATTGCCCTGGCAGCAACAGGTATTCCATAACACTCATTGAACAGCGTCTACAGACCTGGCCCCTGCTGGGCATTTTTGTACACATCTCTTTTAATCCTCAATGTAACCCCATGAGGTCAAGCATTATTTGCCCGTTTCCAGATAAGGAAGCTATTTCCTGCATCTCTTGTTTCACACTTTCTACTAGCAGAGTAAGGTGATCCCAGGGCAGGCTGGGGCATCCAATATGGCTGCAACCCTGGCTCGGCCACTGTCTGACTGACCTGGGCTCTTTACCAACCTCTGCAGTTTCGTTTCTTCAACTGTAAAAGGACATCACCTTTCTTCACTCAACATTTACTGAGGCAGGTACTGGGCTAAGGGACACCAAGACGAACAAGACAGTGCAGCCCTGCAAGGCCTCAGCATGGTGGGGACCCAGAGCAGTGTCTTGGCAGTTCTCTTCCCAACCAGTATCTAGCTTGTCGGCTTCTCTCCACCGCGAAGGCGCCTGCCCTGGTCCAAACCACCAGCATCCCACTCCTGGATTCCTCCAGGAACCTGTTTCCACTCTTGTCCCCTGAAATCTTCCTCCTGCACAGCAGTTAC